TTGGGCCTTTTTCTTTTTCTATGCTAAAGTCTTGTTTTGAATTTGGTCGTAAACAGGTTTGTATAGAAAAGCAGTAGTGTCTGCGTGTCACACTCTCTGCATTAGCAACAGTGCAAGTATAAAAGAAAATGTTGTAGCTATTGTTTGTCTTAGTCTGTGGACGTGTGTTTCTGAGCCATGCCATGAATTTTTTTTTTTTTGTTTGGGAGGAAAAAATCTAAAGTTTAAAGGAATTAACTGTGAAGTTCTTCCAATATAAAACAGAAGCGTGTGATTGGTATAAGCTTGTGTTCCAGGTATATTAACTACTTCACACAACAGAAGGCAGTTTTTCGGAACTTTAAAATGGAATCGAAATTATTTAGCAGGAAGTGAGCAATGCAATATTTCAAGTGAGGATGTGGCAGCAAGAGATGGAGAAAAGGAAACAAGAAATAGAAGATAAAGGCTGACATCAATGGCTCGCTTGAAATTTTGATGACAAGTCAACTCTTTCATTGCAGACTTCTAATATATGCTACTTTACCTCGACAATTCTACACCGAACAACACGTCTTCATATTGTTGCGTCAGCGAGGTCACGTAACTAGTATCACGCCACCTCCTTCTAGAAATATCCTGTTCCTTCGTGAATTGTCGGGAGACTACTAGATTGGGGGGTATGCTGGTATATATATAAGACGGCCACAACGTGACGGAGCAATGAGTAATTGAACTGCAGTCAGAGAGTGTGTAATTGAACTGAGTATTGTTGAAGTCAAGCACGTGAGACGTTTGTTGAAAATTATAGCGTTTGTTATAGCGCGACTGTTGAAATTAAGTGTATCGCAAAGTTATATTCAGAAAGAATAAACCAGCTTTATTTAAGAAAGGACTTGTGTCGCTGAAGTTTCGTCGGAACGAATTTATGGAAAAATTGACTAACGAACGGAGACGTAACAATATGTTTGGGTTATTTTGGTTATATATATTTATAGATAAAACACACCACAGCAAATATCTTTGGAAATAATAGTTTCTTAAGGATTGGATTATCTTTTGCCAGAAGCAGAATGTGTACAAAACGGGTGAATCGCTGAATCAACTTGCTGATTTATTGAAATTTCACAATTTCACGCAGAAATAAAATAAATTGGTCCTGGGCACCTACCGGTCCTTTACAAATATTTGAAATTTTGTATTTTAGCGTATGAATTTTGTTAAGTTGGTAAAGTTTCACCGAAGAAAAATTGTTTTGCACTAAATTGCAATAAATCAAAACAAACAAATGTTTCCATGAAACTCTTCCATTGTTTATCTAAATATTTCTGAAGTATTTAACAGAAACGTATATAAAACAAGCTGATAAATTATTGATGGTATAAGTATTTAGGAACGCTATGATAACAATATTTCCTTTAGTTCTTTTAATACACATAAATCATTCTCTGGTTGTTACAGGTCTTAAATTTTCCATAAATATGTATTAAGTTTTACGAATCAAATATATGTTAAAACCAATATACAGATCTTCAAACATATTGTTGCGTCAGCGAGTCACGTGACTACTATGACGCAACGTTTCTAGAACTATCATGTACTTTGTCGAATGTTCAAGT